ATTTATCAGATCATAAATGCTACAAATTCATTTGTTCAGATCATAAATGCTAACAGATTCATTTATCAGATCATAAATGCTAACAGATTCATTTATCAGATCATAAATGCTAACAGATTATTTATCAGATCATAAATGCTAACAGATTATTTATCAGATCATAAATGAGGAACCATATGTATGCTTCATTCAAGAATATGCTATGCATGGTGATCTTTTGCAACGAATTAAAAAGAATGATCGGATCGATGAAGAAGAGGGTCGTTTCTATTTTCGACAACTTATTGAAGCACTTACGGTATTTTGCTATACAGCTATGATCATTGTAATTTAATTGATAAAAAAGTAAAAGGAATCTTTATAAGTTTGATTTTTGCTAAATTAAATTGTAAATTGAATCAAATGCTTCTCGAATTAGTTCATATAAGATTAACTACATAAGTTTATCATTTCATTTGATTATCTCTGTGATACTTTTTCACTTTTCTATAATTTGATATTGATGCTACGATAAATTAGCAAGATTTTGTATAAGTTTGAATATCAATTTTAAATATGACAAAATTGGAGTATCAAATTTAAACATAAGAAAGTTTGAATGTCAAGTCTAAATGTAACAAAATTTGAATAACAAATTTAAATACAACAAAGTTTGAATATCAAACTTAAACAGTATCAAGTTTAAATGTAACATTAAATATTAAAAAAAAATTTAAATATCAAATTTAAGTATAACAAAAGTTTGAATATCAAATTTGAATATTACAAAAGAATTATAAAATGAATTTATTGACAAATATCTTTAATTAGTTAAAATTGTAAATAAATTAATCAAATTTGAAATGATTTAGTATTTGAAATCAATCAGTATAGCACATCGTGATATCAAATGTGAAAATGTATTGTTGGATAATTGTGATAATGTTAAACTTAGTGATTTTGGTTTTGCTCGTTTTATGAATGCTGATGAAGTGTCGCATACATTTTGTGGATCTCGAGCTTATGTTGCACCTGAATTATTACGGTAACAATAATTTTAATAAGTTAGGCTTTCTTTTTTTTTTTCCAAATTCAAACTTTTTTTTTTTTAACTGATAATATATATATATGATAAAAAAAAAGAACGTAAAAAAAACTCATTCAAAATATAATCATATAAATGAAAATTTTATATTTAAAAATTTTTTATAATTTAATTTGGAAAAGAAAAAAAAATTGATATGTTTAGATCATGTCCATATAATGGTTTTTTGGCTGATATTTGGAGTGCTGGTATATTGCTATATGTTATGGTAACTGGTTTTATGCCATATGATGATCGAAATATTACTAAAATGCTTGAAAAACAACTACAACATCGGTAAATTTTTTTTTTGATATATAATATATTATTTGATTTAATTTTTACAAATATTTCAAATATTTGATTTTTTTCATTTTCATATTAATCAATAATTCATTACCTTCAATAAGCATTTAATTATTACATAAGAATTATTTATTTAATCAAATATTAAAAAAGATAGTATTTTTTCGCCTTTTTTTTGCATAAGTATTAATCATAAATGATTTTATAAATTATAGGATTACATTTCCACGTCGACGTAATTTGAGTGTTGAAGTTAAAGAACTTATCTATTCTATGGTACATCCAGAACCATTAAAACGACGACCATATCATGAAGTTATCTTATCAACATGGCTTGCTGATACAAAGTATGAACTTCGCTCAGAACCATTCTCGCAGAAATCTGATTGAATATTAGCTTAAGATTAATTAAATGATGTAAAAATTGATGATTCAATTTTTTTTTTTTGCCTTTTCCAATGAAATTCATAATATTTGCAATTATTCAATGCAAATATTCGTTGCAATTAATGATTGAAATTAAATTTATTGATTTAACCATATCATAAGTTGAACTTTTTTTTTAATAATAATTACAAATTCATATTTTGACCTCAAAATTTCTTCGTACCAAAAATGATACAAAAAAAAAAAAATACAATATCGCACACTTTCGAGCACCGCACATTTTTTCAATATGGTACATTTTAAGTACCATATATTTCTAATACAGTATACTCTCAGTACCGTATTCTCTTATCGTCATCAAAAATTAGATTTGCATAAATATGTAACTTTAATGTTACTTCCTAATTCATTGAAAAGTGATAGAAAAATGATTGAAAAAATTAAAAGTTTGAAATGTTTTCAAGGAATAGTAGGAAATTGTAATTTTTAT